AAAAGAGGAGGGGAGAGCTTTAAAAAAATGATAGCAAAAGTCTGGAAATACTTTTGCAATTACAATCAATTGGGGATTTTCCTAGTTATAATAGCCAAATGGGAAATTTAAAACAATAACAAAACTATGTATATATAGTATTAGTTAATGGCTATAACACAATAAGCCAAAAACAAGAAAAAAAGTGCCTGCACACAAAAAGGAAATAAAGCTTTTATTTTTATCTCCCTTCTCTCAAATAGCCTGACTCTTATTCCTTCTGACATGTACACAAATTAATGAAGCACAGAACCTGTTTCAATAAACCACTGCTCAGTGACACTAAACTAAAGCCAGGGTTAACCAATGAACTTCTGACCGATGCTCCTTGCAGAGGTGCTCAGCACACAGGAACCCCCATTGCTCTTCTTGTTAACTGAATTATGCCTGAACATTAGCTTAGTTCAGAAATTATCACAAATCCTGCCCCAGTCAAAATGGCTTCCAAACAGATCAGTGGTTCCTCAACAACACAGAATCCTAAACACAAAATTAGCATGATCCAGCAATTCCACCCATAGGTATATGTATGTGTATGTATGTATGTGTGTGTGTATATATATGTGTGTGTGTGTGTATACATATAGATAGATATAGATATATAGATATAGATATATAGATATAGATATAGATATAGATATCCAAAAGAACTGAAAATGGGCTTAACCGTACCATTGTATGCCAGTTTTCACCACAGGAGCTAACCCAAAGGTGGAAGCAGCTCAAGTGTCTGACAGGTGAATGGATAAACAAAATGTGGTATCCTATATAATAAAAGCCTAATATGCTAGGTGTCTGGTTGTCTGGTTGTCCGTTCAACCAATCAAAGCATAATAAGCTAAGGCCACTCAACTGCTCGCTATGACGTGCACTGACCACCAGGGGCAGATGCTCCGACAGGTAGGTTTGCTTGCTGCTGGGATCTGGCTGATCGGAACTGAGCAAGATGGGCCGGACATGCCCTGGAGCCCTCCTGTGGTCCCTCCCCGGCTGGCCAACCTCCCGTGTTCTTCCCCAGCCCTGACCCCTGGTGGGGTCCCTTGGCCTGGCCAGCGCCCTCTTGCAATCTGGGACCCTTCAGGGATGTTGGAGGGCCAGTTTTGGCCTGATCCCACAGGCCAGGCCGAGGGACCCAACTGGTGCATGAATTCGTGCACCTGGCCTCTAGTATGATATAACGGAATATCATTCAGTCATAAAAAGCAAGGAGCAATTCACTATGAAAATGTCCCCTCTACTAACAATACCAAAGAGATTCAAAAGCATTCAATACATCGAATAGATAAATATTTTAAGAAAAATGAGCAAATTTTAAGTGCAGCTCAAATGCTTACACTGAGAAACAGCTACGTCTAATTCAGGACTTCTTATCAGTATAAACACTATTGAACACCTACTTAAAAGTCTTAGCAAAGTCAAAAAGACTTGACTTGGTTGGTGAATACACAATACAATATACAGATGATGTATTATAAAATTGTACACCTGAAACCTGTATCATTTTATTAACCAAGATCATCCCAATAAATTCAGTTTTTAAAAAAATTCCATGAAAAATAAAATAAAAGTCTTAGCCAGACTGACTCCTCTAGAAAAAGCATATACTGATACTGCTTTATATGCTAGGCCCAATTTCAAAACAATAAATGAGATGAAGCATATGCATTTGGTTCATCTTCTTTTTGTTTATATTTGTGACCAATATTGATATTTTATGTTATGTAATTAAGATGTAAAACCTTAAATCAGTATAGGGGATATTACAGGAAAAAGGACTCATCTTAGGTTTAGTTAGGTGATTACTAGTTAATAGTATATTTGAGGACCATCTGTAATTCCTGAACACTTCTATGTTACCACAAAAGCATTACTCAGATGTGTTGCTTTACTTCCTGGTATGTCCACATGACCATTCCCTATTTTTTCATAGAGCATCTCTGTATTTTTCTCCACCTCATCCACACCTCTCACCTCCAATATCAATTTATTTCTGATGTTTCAATGAAATTTTGCATTTACATTCAAATAAAAACAATTAGAAAATTATGAAATGGAGAATATCAAGTATATATTATAAGGAATTTTCAGAAAATCACAAAAGCTTACTAACATATCTATTGTTAATGAAAATTACAGGAAGTCACTCGTTAGAAAAATGAATGCTTGTATAGCAGCCAGAGAAATATTTGTGAAAAGCAATGCTCTTAATTGTTAAAAAACATTTAGATTTTTTATGAGATATCATGAAACTATTTTTTTTAATTTTATCTAGATACAAAATATCTAAAATTATATTTTAATGAAAATAAGATATAGATAGTACAATATGGTATTTTTAATTTTATTTTTATTGAATTTATTGGGGTGACATTGCTTAATAAAATTATTCAGGTTTCAGATGTACAATTCACCCTCCATCACCATTTATTCCCCCTTTACTTCCTTTTGCTTCCCCCACACTCCGTCCCTCCACCCCCAGCAATCATCATACTGCTGTGTCCATGAGTCTTTCTTTTTTTTTTTGCTTAAACTGTCAGAGGTGACGGGGTGGGGCTCTGGCTGAGAGGGATGAAGGGATTATGCAATATGCTGTTTTGAAAATGTAATGTATTACTCCAGACTCTGTTTCCAACATAATAATACATTTTCTGTAATAACAAAGCCAAACTACTTCTGTTTCCTTAGCGTTTTCCCTTATTCTCAGTTGGAAAATCAAAAATGGTTTGAAAATCTCAGTCACCTTTCATATCTGTTCCCTTTATGGTTACAAGAAAATGTTATTATGACTCTCAAACTGGTTCTCAGAAAACTATATTGTGCATAAATGTTAATTTCCTTTTTTACCTATGCAACTTGAATATAAATTATATTATCTAAACATTCATTAGGTATTCATATAAAAAAGAATAACAATAAAGAAAAAGTATAAAGGTCATTGCCTCTGCAATAAATATGCAGCCTCTTTTCTGGTTAGTGGTTTGTCTTTCACGTCACTTGCTGCTCAATAAAGACTAACACTTTAGCCCTGACCAGTGTGGCTCAGTTGGTTGGGCATATTCCCAAGCACCTGAAAGGTTGCAGGTTTGATCCCCAGTGACGGAACATGCCTGGGTTGTAGGCTCTATCCTTGGCAGGGGGCATGCAGGAGGCAGCCAATCAATGTTTCCTCTCACACTGATGTCTCTCTCTCCCTCCCTCTCCCTCCGTCCCCTACTCCCTCCTTTTCCTTTCTTCTCTACCTAAAAGCCAATAAAAAAAATCTTTCAAAAAGAAAAAGACTAGCTCAGGTGTTTCTACAAACTATCTGAACAGATGAAAAAAAAACTGAATAGTGCAGTTAGAATATAAAGAATATGCAGACAATAGTAATTTCATATCTCAAAGTAATCAATTTTATGGTCACTAGTAAAAAGTTAGAATTAAAAAATAGGAAATGATTTGTATTAAGAACACACTGAATTTATCTCTAGATAGACATCTTGGTAATTAAGAACTGAAAAAACTCTACAAATATTTTCTTTTATTGATAGAAATGTTAAAGAAACCATTACTTTTAATACACCTTAATGATTGAGAATTTTAGGCAGAATACCTTCCCTAATTAAAATCACCTATTAATGTGAGACAGAACAAGAGACAGGACTGACAAGGAGACTGGAACCAGGTGCTTTTCTTTTGTTATCTAACATCACTGACTATTCAAGGTCTTCCTCCTAATAACTAAGAGAAGAAGAAAAAGAGCTTTGCTGTTTTCTTGTGCATAAACTATCCCTCAAATATTCGTTCTCTCTTCTCTCTCTAATTCACAGAACCCTAACTTATTAGCTGGGCACACTACCACCTAAGAAAGATTGTGTCTCTCCCTCTCTTACAGAGGGCATAGTCATATGACCAAGTTCTGGCCAATGAAGGTTAAGCAGTAGTGAAATGTGGGACTTCCAGAAATTCTACTTTAAAAGAAAGGGCAGCACCTTCTTATTAGACTTCCTTTATTGACAGCTTACTATGGAATGGCACCATGCACGGTCTCATGTAGTCATCTTTGGAAGCAAGCTATCAATAAGGACTACTAGGTACTACTATCACCATTTTTTAAAAATATATTTTATTGATTTTTTACAGAGAGGAAGGGAGAGGGATAGAGAGTTAGAAACATCGATGAGAGAGAAACATTAATCAGCTGCCTCCTGCACACCCCCTACTGGGGATGTACCCACAACCAAGGTACATGCCCTTGACCAGAATCGAACCTGGGACCCTTGAGACCGCAGGTTGATGCTCTACCCACTGAGCCAAACCGGTTAGGGCTACTATCACCATTTTAAATACAGGGATTTAGTCAACTTGCTCAAGATTTCACAATTCATAACTGGCAAAGATGGGCTTGGAACTCAGGTCTGTGTAACTACAAAGTTCATACCATTAACCACTGTGTTATAATTTCACTGAAAATTCTTTAAGTTCTTCATTCTTTTATATCATGGGGGAAATTAAAATGTAAAAGTTACTCTGTGGATGGAGGCAGTGGGATTATCAATTCATTGTAAAACCTAGAACAATTTCAGAGGGCACCAAGGTGCCTGGAAGAAGCCACAAGAGCCTTGGTGTGTTGGCTATTTTTAACTGATTTTTAGTTATCTTAAGTATATAGAACCCAACATTTGAGTTTACTATAACAAATGACAGAAAGTCTAAGCGTTACTTACAAAAGCCCTGAAAAAAAACCCTCATATTTCTTACTATAGTAACTAAGAGAGTCAAAAATATACCCAATATTCTGACATATCTCCTAAAGATATAGTTGCAGAATGACTATAACATATTTACTCTTTCTGAAGCACACCAAACTACAAATTATAACCTGGTGCCATCTTTTTTAAAAAAAAGAAAGCAGCAATAAGACTAAGGTTTCTAGAAGAAAGTTATTCAAATAAGATTAAAAGAATTCCAGAAGACAATACCTTCAATGCTTGGCTGCATTTCTTCTGTTTTTGGAACAAAAATTCGGATTACGCTTGTGTTGATGTAAATCAAAGGTAAATTGCGTGAAGTTACTGTATGGGTCCTCATGGGCTGACCAGGAGATTTTCTTTTCTCTTTTTGGGTCCTTGGTAATTTTGCTTGAAATATACTTGCAATGGCATTAAGTAAAGGAAAACACAGGACAATATCAAACGCTTGTGATGAGAGAAGAATTTCATGAAGAAAATGAGGGGACCCATCCGTTAGACCTTCAGATAATTTATGGAAACTTCTTCGCTCATTTCTTGATATTAACTTGTGGCGGACATTTTTTGTTACAGCTTTTGTGTACGTCAAAGAAAGAAATCCATGCTGCTGATGAGAGCCATCTAGAAGTTTTGTAGTTGTCTGTTCCAGAAAAAGGAAATCACAATATACATTTCATTAAAAAAAAATCTATTTGAAAGCAGAAAATCATCTCAGTTGGTAATATAACCTTTTATCATTTCTATACCTCTTAATGAGCACATTACAGAACAATTCTGCAGATGGGGCAAAAGATGGGACCATTGGTATGACTGAATTGAAAGTCAGGAATCCTGAGTTCTAGTTATAGGTGTTGAGAGAGGTAATTAACCTCTTTGTGTCTCTTTCTATGACTTGTACATTTTTGTAACATTCAGAATTTGGAAAAGATCATCTCTGGGTTTTATCTTTTCATTCATGTTAATTTATCATTAAGAAAACACATATTCTGTCACAATATGGGCCACAGAGTTGTTTATGCAGGTGAAATTTAAATATCCATGTTATTTATTTCCATTTGTGATCAACAACCTGAGTAGAAAAGATAACTGACTTAAATTGACTTACATTTATAAGAACCTTTTTTCCCCATTGATAATATGGCTTATTTATATAAAGACTGAGCCCATAAGAAGAGCCTAATTGATATCATGCTTTAATAACTAAACTAACCATTTAATACATGTTTACTGGAAATGATAACATAACACAAAAACAAAACATTTGCACTTCAAACTTGCCTGTTTCCAGTGGCTATCATATAATTTACAAAACCTATCAACACTTCTACAATTCTCATTTTTTGTGTTCTATACTGCATTAATACACAAACAACATTTGATTGAGAGTGAAAATTATGTCATTATAAGTTTAATATTTATGACAATATTTTCCCAATTATCATATTCAAATTGCATATTTTAAACAAATTATAGTAAAACAACATACTTATGAGTAAAGTAAAATGCATACTTTGTAACATATAAAAAAAATTCTCCACTAGTTTGTCTGAACAAATTAATGTACATAAAATCCTATTTTGAAAATCACTCAATATAAAATTAGTTATTATAATTCACATTCCTGACCCCTCTTCCCAGGGCTTAATAGCTTTTTTGTTATTAGATTCCAAAGAGTAATGTTAAGAGAGAAGGTGAACTAGGAAGAAGAAAAAGGAGGACATATATCCTCCCAAACAGGAAAAACATGAGAAGCAGCAATGCAGCACTGTGTCTGAATCCATGTTACCCCATCACTAGTGAACCTCTTTTGCTTCCACTCTCTTCTTCTTGTGTTATTGCCTATCACTCAATGACAGGCAACAGAGGGGAAAAAGTATGCAATTCAGCTTTCACCGTTGATTTTGTTTTTAATCAGGACTTTATGATGAAGAAAGGTGAGATAAAATTTACCTTTGTACTATATGTTACTTTTTTAAAGTTAATTTCATGAGCACTAAGAAAACTGGAAGTAGACATTAAATGGGTGTGCAGTATCATAATTTTTCATATAACTGTCCTGCCCTCAGAACATGTTTTTACTGTTCCTAACTTACTCATGGCCCCTCTTCAGATTTCTCTTTCCATTTGCTTTCTATATTCACAACAAAAGGAAATCCAGTAAAGCAGGAACAATTACTACCACTCTTATCACCGTGCTGCTGAAGATCTGGCAGCAGTAGGCGAGGAGGGTGGCTGTGGCGTGGCCCTGGTAGAAGAGGCCGGCAACACTTGTCTGTCTCTGGGTGTCCAAACAGGATGTTGGAGAGGGAGTAGAATCAACAACTCATCTAAATAACTCAACTCAAATCTTCATTAATGACAGTATTTGAATCCTGGAGTTAATGTAAAAGGTATTTCAATGTCTAAATGTTTCGATTTAAAAAAATATTTTTAGAATACTGAATATAGGTTCTCTTAAAAGATAAGTTCCCATAAGCGATAGCTTGTTTGTTAAACTACTGAATCCATAACTCACTTAAGATTAGAAGGGGGAAGCCCTAGACAGCTTGGCTCAGTGGATAGCATCTACCTGCGTGCGGACTGAAGGGTCGTGGGTTGGATTCCGGTCAAGGGTACATGCCTGGGTTGTGGGCTCGATTCCCAGTACGGGGAGTGCAGGAGGCAGCCGATCAATGATTCTCTCGCATCATTGATGTTTCTATCTCTCTCTCTCTCTCCCTTCCTCTCTGAAATCAATAAAAATATAAAAATAAAAAGATTAAAAAGAAAGATAAGGGGAGGGGAGAAAAAATGAGTGAATACTAGCTGGAGATAATATATAATTACTTTTCATACCATAATAATCAGTATTTTATATGATTTAAGATGAAAATTTAGGAAACACTAATAATTAGGAAATATTAATAAAATAAAAAATAGTGCAGTTGATAAAGAACATTTTTAAAGGACATTAATAATTTTCTTTCATGAATATACGTTAAAATTATTAAGAATGTTTTCCATGGACACTAATGAATCTTCAAAGAGAAGAACATAAATCTAAACAGAACTTTCTCCAACCAAAGTCACATTAGGAGACCTATTTTTTCCAGACTAGGCTAGAAAAAATTTCAAAACGCAAATCAGAAAACCAGAGAATTGGCCATGCCAATAAATATTAAAGATTAAATCTAGGAACAAAATTATTTAAAATACTTGGCTAAGTTTTAAAATTCTGAATATATATGCTTTAAATTTCTTTTGATTTACAAAAAAGGGGAAAGAAGTAGATAAGTAGTTTCCATTACACACACTAAGAAAATATCTATTTTCAATAATTTAATAAATTCTCAAGACAATAACTATTACCATTGTGATAATCTGCTCTTAATAATTTAAAATACATGTATTTTTACTAACTTAAAAATGCCGCTTAGACCTGGCTGGGTGGCTCAGCTGGTTGGAGCATCATCCTGTACACCAAAACAGTTGTGGATTCCATTCCCAGTCAGGGCATGTACCCAGGTTGCAGGTTTGATTCCCTGAATAATGTTGCTCTCATATCAATGTTTCTCTCACTCCCTTTCCCCCTCTCTAAAAATCAATAACATATTCTTGGGTGAAGGTTTTTAAAAAGTCACTTAAAATTATTAGCTTAGTAATATATTCAGATGCATTGTACTGTTAAAAAAAAACCAGGTTCCAGACTTCTAAAAGCCATTGTTGTACAGTCTAGTGTTCATTTTCTATCCAGTCAACAAAGGACATAGAGCCTTTTCCAGAGATTCAACAGGGTACCACATAAGGGGCTTTGAATTATTTGTGAAAAGGAAATGGCATAATAAAAGGTGGGAGAAGCAAACTGAGTAAAAATTCATAAAGGAACGACAAAAGCAGTATGGTCAATTCTTGATCACTCAACACATGCATAATTTAAAAAACATATTTAACATCCATTTTTAACTTTTTATGGTGATTGTAAAATTAGTTTGTATTCACAAAACCAGGGGAATACATAGCATAACCAAGTAACCCAGAAACAAATCAAATTACAGTGGAAAACCAGTCTATGATTTAAAAAGTAACGTTAGCTCATTTACAAAGTAAGATGGTACAGAGGGAAAGGAAAATCAAGAGTTGACTCTATGAACAGTTCAATCCCTTCCCTGGGTTCCTGTTCATGGGAGTTCTGTAGCATAATTTAAAAATGATTTCTTACAGAAGGAAAGAAGCCAGAGCAATTACTGAAAGGGTCCTGCTTGCTGATGGGTCGAACCAACAAGGTGCGTCTGTTCAGCTTGTCAGTACAGGAAAGGAAGACACCTCCACATTGCCCCAGAAGCTTGAGGTGATGGACAGGAGCAAAGAAGGTGAAAAGACAAAAAGCAATAAAAGCCATAAGCAAACACCTCAATACTTTTAATTCTGCTCAAGTTTTATAGGTTTAGATTTGAACCTATAGGTATGACTTGTGTCTGGACCATCTTCTGCAAAAGCATTGTTAATGGAAATAAACAAAAATGAGGTATTTTTAGTGTAAAATGACTACTTTTAGTTTATGATTAAAAAAATCCACATGGCTCACTTATGAATTAGAAAAACCTCTAAAAAGTCAATATAAAACACATTAATGTCAAAATATATTAATAAAAGCAATCTTACCTTTGACCTTTGGAAAAATTACTAGTTATTCAGGAAAAATGGTTACAAAACAGAAGCAGCTAAAATAATAGTTTTATTTTACAATGTAATTTTGGAAAAATAGGTTAAAAATTATTCTGAGCTCTAATTCTTGTAACCATTTGTCCTACTGCATGAAAGAACAAAGATAAACAGTTTATATTTTCAAAAAATCATAGTTACTAAATGAGTCTCACCACAGGTTTTTCTTTGCACTGTAGAAATACTCCTTCAAAATGTCCTGACTGCCAACCTTCCCCTGGCCTGGAAAACATAAGTTCACCTTATCTGTTCTCTTCAATTATTCTGAATTTAAAAAGTGAGCATATATAACTGTTTCAAGTAGTAATGATGTAAACAACACTACTAAACAGCGGAACTAAAATGTGGATCTGATGATGCAATCAATAGTACAATTTACTTAGCACCACACCCTGGTAGCTCTGCACAGAAACATTTGTCTTAATGATAAATTACATATTTATTTGGTTAAGTACTTATTTCTATCTTACCCATGAGACTATGAGGTCCACAAGGGCATGATTTATGTCTATTTTGTTAATCACACTATATCCACTGTCTAATAGTGTGTGACACACAATACGCATTCAATAAATATTTTGATTAAACGAAATGAGTAAATGATCTAAAGATTTACTAAAATTATCCTAAATTTCACAGTAAAAGTCATAGATGATATAGAACATAGATTGCAATATTTACATCATCAAGAAATTATTTCAGCTATATTATTCATGTATCACTTGCAAGAATCATTTTGATATAGAGATATACCATTTAAAAGGAACAAAAGAGCTAAATCAAAAATCAACTAATGATTCACTATTAATACAATAAAAACAATTATATGCTTGGCAAGATAATACTATAATAACAGATCTTAAAATATATACAGCAAAATATTTTGAACTTCACAATTATGACCCAATTTTTCAGCTGTGGCAGTTGGATAATTAGTGGCATGAGCAATGTGATATATGTGATAAAGGATAAAAATTCAAATGTTTTAATGTAGAATTAGAAACCTGTTAAATAAAAAAGACCTTTTTAGGGTATATAATACATCAATAAAGGTATAACAAATATATGTGCTTCTGCAGGTACTCAAGAAATAATTTTTGAATGAATATTATGAATTAAGAAAAAATAAATAAGGCTATTATATGACAAAATACAGTGAAATTTAAAATATGATGCGATTTGGACTTGGATTTTAATTTGGAAAAAAAATGACAAAATTGCTATATAGCTTTGTGAAAATATCTAAAATTTCACTTTTTACTACTGTTATTTATCATTATAAACAAATTATATTTGCTTATAATCATACTTTTCATAGAAATGTATTAGGGAAGGAAAATATGAATAGTCTCCAGAGTGAAAAGGGACATGAGATGTTGCTTCATTTAATCTACATTATACTGTTATAGGGATTGGTTGGCAAGGATATAGCAAAAACCAAAGCCATCACCTGTGTCTCAAGCATCTTAGCAAATAAACAACCCACGTAACAAATGTCAGAGATGATTAATAAAAGCAGCTTATGTCATTTAATATGGCAATGTGGATATTTATAAACAAATTTGCCATTTTATGAAAAAAAACTTTATTATATTTCACATATGAATGAATACCAAATAAAATTAACCAATTAATCTGTTAAGAAACCTCTTTGAGAATAATTACAGTATTTCTAAAAAATAACTAACCAATATAAATGTAAAAATTCTTATTATACTTTGTTCAAAGAAAATATAGCCTTTCCCATAATCATTATTCTTTACTTACCTGCTTCTGTAGTGATCAATATTGAAACTTTCTATTTTACATTTCACTTTGGTATATACATCCTGGACATCTATGGAGGCACTGAGGTCTTCTAGTTCACTGACCATACAAAGCTCTGCAATAAGAAGTGAACATCAATTTCAATACTGACCCACAATCAATGGCATGTATATTCTTGGCATCTACAAAGGGACTGAGGCTCTCTATTCATTAACTACAGAAGATTCTGCAATAATAAGTAAAATTTATATCAATATAGGCCTCACAATTAAGATAGGACACCTATTTCAAAATAGGGGAGTTCATAGTTAGTGTTTTATGTGTCATACCTGATATCAGTCATTGATTTTTGCAATACTTTTAGTGACAATAACCAAATACATCAATATGATCAAGAAGAAATTACCTCGTGAATTTTAGGATGAATTTTAATACAAACAAGACAAAATTTAGGTATAATATTCAATGTTAGTATTTCTAATAGAAATCATGTGAATTAGATCTGATGACATTTAATTTAAATGGCAATGACAAATAAAATGAAGTGTACTATGATTTTTTTTCTAAAAATAGTGTTTAATATTTTATCTTTACAGTACAGAAGAAAAGGAATCCTGTACCTGTGCCTTTATTTTCGGGATCTGGAGCAAAGAGTTTTATCGTAATTTTGGGCAGTACCCACTGCATCCATAGACTAACACGTCCACTGGATCCACCAATGTTACTTGTTGTTTGTTCCAAGGTAACAGAATCAGAGAATGGTGAATCATCACCTGCTTGTACAGAATCTCCCTGGGTTGACAAAACAACACTATGTAACTTAAAAAAATCTTTAATTATTACCTATAACTTTTCCATATTCTAATGCTAATCATATAAATTGTTATGCTAATACATAATGCTAATAATATAAGCTAATAATATAAACATATACTAATCAATACACTAACGCATGTTATTATACTATTTGTTTAAAATATGTGTATATATATTTAAACATTAGTCAAGTACTTAAAGTTAGTCTAGTAGGCAGCATGATGTATTAGGTTAAGAACTTCATATATTAGCCATGTGATTTAATCTTTCAGATTGATTCCTCTTCTGAAGAAATGGTTATTATAATAATATTTACCTCTTAGAGTTAAGATTAAATAAGAACATGAATATAAAGTGATTACCTATAATAAACAATGCACAAATAGCACGTATGATTATCACCATCAAGCTTGACCAATACTTAGAAATTGTGCACTCATATTTTTAATAATTCTTGTCTTTCTCATTTTGTCATCTTTCTAATTTTAGCACATTTTCCTGTAATATATATTCCTAACTTTTAACTTCTAACTCCATCTATGCCAAGGAGTAATTTAGTAACAGTCAACAGCTAGAACAAAACATCCCCTAAAATTTGATCGAATTCAATGTAACATGATCAGTATACTGTTTTGTAAGGATAGTTTCTCAGACTAATCTCTTTTTCAAACCAATAAACTGGCTTTTAGAAATAGGAATGATAAGAAAAACCTCAAACAAAACAAACCTAAACACTCAACTTTCATATATTTGTGAAATAAATATATTGTAAATATATCACCACAAGACATCTACCTTGACGTCAGATTTACACCATCTTTTAATCAGACTAAAATTCAATTTAATTGAATCCCCATAAGGAGACCAAATGGGGAAGACTTTCACAAAACAAGAGATATGTGTTTATGTTGGAATAGTTAAGCACCGAGCACAGTAAAGCAATAGTGTCCTGTGATTTACAGTGACAAAAAATTACAGACTTAATCCTGAAGGTAGTATAATCATTTCTTGATCCAATTACATGAAGCAAAGCAACCAGCTTACTGTTTAGTGATGTTTTCATATAAATGCTTCTCCAAAATAAGTGGTCCTATATCTGCTATAATTAAAATTCCTAGAATTTGAGAAGCTATAGAAAAATTTGGGTTTTTGGTTAGCTGTCTAAAATAACACAGCATCCAATGGAAAGCATAAACTAATCCCAGAAAAGGATGCATTTTACAAAGAAAAATTCACTAAAAGACAACATATTGTAGTCAGTGTGCCTTTCTTTACAGATAGGTTCTTAGATCAGAAGCATTCATAAATTAATTCTCCCTCAAACAGAAGAATATCATAATCATAAGCCTGGAAATTGCAGAGAAAAACAGCCATCTCATATCAATGAGATAGTGATTTTTCACAGTTAGGCATATTCACTATGAATGCTAAGAAAACGCTGGCTGCAAATTTAATAAGTAAGCATTCCTGAGGAAAGGTTTTGCTTTCCTTCCTCACGGAGTTTCAATTTTCGTTTTGGATTTACAACATTTGGTGTGGTATTGTTAAATATGTTTATGCATTAATTTTCTGCTCTATTTCCAATTCTATAGCAAAATCGAGCCAGAATTGGAGATGCTGAACTATTTTCCCACACCTCTATGCCAAGTTCCAAAATATACAGTTTAATTCTTTCACCATTTTGTTGCAAATTGACCAAAATACTGAGTTTATTTTCCTAGCTGAATTTATCTTTGTTCATCTGGAAGAGCAAACACTTCAGCCCTTCATCCTTGGCCTGTTTCAGACCTCAGGGATGATCATAGTTTTGGCCACATTGCTATTCTCCCTTATCAAAATAACTCCAGAGTTCTTGTTCAATCACGAAACGTCCCAAAGGGCTAAACACTTCCACCACTGTTTGTACTTAAGTCAACAGTAACAAGTGGCCTGCTGTGGTTTCCACTACCTTTGGTCCCATTATTTCAATGCAAGGGTGGGAAAAATGATTAACTGTTTTTTAAGCTCAGTACTTAAGCCTCTCACTCATATTTCCCCCTCTACACCACCCAGATGGATATTCAGGAAGCTAGGGCTAAATTCACCAAAAAGTATGGTGCTCCCTATCAACATGTCAACATGAAAAGAATTACTCATAGTTTAAAGTATAAATCATTCAAGAATCATATAAACAAATACTTCTACTTAATACAAACAATTGTTAAGAGTGTGCTTTTTAAAACTAGATTTATAGTAAATTCTTTACAGTTAAAACAATTTAAAAATAATAGTTTTGACCCAACTCACCAAGAGAAAACTATACTTTAAATAGTAAATGTTTTAACATTTTTTATGAACTTTTAAAGTGCAAATATTACTTAGGAATTTAAAAAATTCAAAACTGCAACTTCAAAGTGGTGCTCTGATATATAATTGATATACATAAGCACAACAAATGTAAGGTAACCTCAGATTTTACCTATACAATAAAACTATTTGAAATTTAAAATCAATAAGGCAATAATGAAAAACTAGAGAGATTATCTGAAAATAAATGCATTTTGAACAACTACTAGATACTAAGAAATGAACCACTTTATGCTGGATGAACCACTTTTTGAGAACAGGGATGCCAAAAGTGACTTTAATTCCTTAATCAATAAAGACTGCAAATCAAAGTTCGTCATGAACCTAAGCTTCCACACACTGGAGCTTAATCTGTCAGTTCTTACTTTAGGGTATGTTGTTAATCAACATTAGCATTCACACAGCATTTTAAATGTTTCTAATTTTAAAATTATTTCTTATACCAATGCTGTGAATGAAGATAGCCTATCAAAGACATTACTCATACATACAAGAAAGCAAAAATGGAAACCTCTAGCTATGAAATTAATAGTGAAAAGTCCCACAGGCTGGTGATCTTAGACTCTGAGTCCCTCAGAGAAGCAAATACATAAAAGTTCCTTTGCGGGGGACCAGGCCATTACTACTATGTAAGGCCTTCATAAAGAAAGTCCCATTAAAGAAGTACTCCCAAAATAAGATTACATAACACATAAGGAAACAATCTACTATAAGAAACAGGAACACAACAAAGAGGAGGATTAGAGTCTCAAGGAATGCATGTAACAGAGCTGATAAAAATACAAAATAATTATGTTTAAAACAATTAAAAACAAAAATTAAGCTAATATTTATAATTTTATATATTTACATAAAAGTATATTTGTAGTGACTTAATGAATACATACATCTCTATGCCTTGTACCATAAGACATCAGACTTAATTTAATTATAATATGAGTTGATATTCCCAAATTATTGAATATCCATATATTAAAAAACAATGTGAGTGTAAAATGTATTCTGTACCAAGCCCAGTTGCTTAAATTAGTGTTATCCTTGGAAAACAAAGATAATTAGCAATAGATCATAGTGAAAAGTTTGTATTCCACACCCAGCATGGCATTGAAATAATATAACCCTTATTTGACACCTTGACTTCTGTGCCAATCGAAACTTCTCAGTATAAATCATTTTACTTCTAACTTACAATGTTTGACTACACACTTTTTTTAAAAGATGGAAAAAAGCAGCATAAAAAGTACAACTAATATGGAAATGAAAAAGGCAACAGAGGGTCAATTTTTCATCTTTTCCTATTTGGACAAAATTTATTAGAGCTGAAACAATGCTAGAAGTTTTCCTTCACACAAAAATACTATCAAAAGAGAAAATTGTGTTCGACTTAAAATACTTCCTACTATTTAAAAACTTAAGCGGAATATTTATTCAATGTAGTACTGGAAGTCCTAGCCAAAGCAATTAGGCAAGAAAAAGAAATAAATGGCATCAAAATTGGAAAAGAAGCTAAATTATCTCTGTTCACAGAGGACATGCCCTTATGTAAAAAAAAAAACCCCAAAGATTCCACATGCAAATAAACAAGTTTAGCAAAGTTGCAGTATACAAAAGTCACCTGAAAAAAATCAGTTATGTTTCTATATACTAACAGTGAACAATCAGAAAAAAATTAATAGTGACTCCATTTAAAATAGCATAAAAAATAATGAAATACATAGCAATAAACTTGACCAAGAAGTGAAAGATCTGCATGTTGAAAACTACAAAATATTGCTAAAAAAAAATTAAAGAACATGCAAACAGATGGAAAGATGTCCCATGCTCATGGCTTGGAAGATTTAAGATGGCGAGTTATTGTTAAATGGGTACAGTTTCAATTGAGAAAGATGAAAAAGTTTTGGAGATTGATGGTGACAGAATAATGTGAATGTACTTAATGCCATAATTTGGTACGCTTAAAAGTGGTTAAAATTGTAATTTTTATGCATATTTTACCACAATAAAAAATGACAAAAACGTTAACTGGGACATAAAATCATTCCTTTATAGTAACAAAAATATATCTTATTTACTTAGCACCTACAATAAATGTTTATTAGTTTTATTTGATGAATATTGTGCCACTGGAATGGGATTCAAATTTTTACAATGAGTAGCATAAAACTCATTTTCTAGAAATACAGAAATGTCAATGTTGGAGGTAGTCACAGGATCAAGATCCTTGCTTATATTCCCTTTACATTAATTACATTAGTGTTCTATGTCCATCCAGTCTTTTCCATTCATTGTCCCTCTTTTCTAATAATCTCTAAGTTAAAACTTCATATATATTCAAAGACCTTCCAATTAGATAAGATATATGTTATACCAATTCATACTTTTCCAGAATATAAAATAAGAGGGAACATATCACATTTCATTTTATGCATAATCTTGATAACAATGTGACTAAAATATTATGAGAAAGAAAAGTTAAAGACCAGTGTCTCACATGACTACAGATACCAAAATCCTAAATAAAATACTAGCAAATACAATCTAGCAAGATATAAAAAGGAAAAGGCATTACCACCAAGTAGGATTTATTCTAGAAATGCAAGATAAGCTTAATATTTGAAAATCAATTAGTA